AATTGTAGCGCCCTCATAACAAATATTACAGCGTAAGGACAGATTACACTAATTTGCAGAAGCTGAATACCATACAGGTGAACACATACATCAAACTTTTAGGAAACACATAGGAAATGTCAATTACATAAGGCGTGACATTGCGGACCACAAATCAACTACTAGTAACACAGCTCTGACAGATGGGTCAGTATAATATCCACATTTACCGTGTTGGCGCATGGACCTAATAAGCTTAATTCAAACCATGGCCATCGATATTCACTATTATACATGTTGTCAGTGACACTTTATTGCGACAGAATATCAGAAATAAATTCATGTATACTTTTTTCTGACAAAAACGATGGAAATGGATGTGTATTTCGTATGGGATCAGTTCCAACTACGCTACAAGTAAAAACGCGTTCATCAAAATTTCATTTTTACAGCGACAATGGTATATATTGTCTTTGTAATCGTGTATGCCAATAAGTTGTGATAGCTCAAGTATATGCAATAAAAAAACAATTTGGAAAATAAAAAATGAATTCAGATTGAAGACAGTGTATATAGCATAAATGTATCGCTTTTGAACTTTAAAGGAGAACGTGTCTTATCACATGTAAAATCTCTTGCATGGTTATGATATTGAGTTACTGAATTAAAACTCATAGCTAGCAATGGTATATATTGATAGGTATGGTGAGACTCGAAGAAGTACTACGCCCTGAAGAAATCCCGCTGGCCAGAGCAGTCATGCATATAGAATTTCGAGGACACACTGGCACTGCTTGTTTTAAAACGTTTTCTAGCTAGCTTGATTTTACCCGGAGATTTTTAGCTTATCAATAATGTCACTAATTTAAGAAAAGAAAACATATTATCACAATGCTGGCACTTTAGCTAAATTAAGATTCTGTTAATTTGTCACTGTGCATTGAGCCAAATTCGTTAAAATGACACATAGCTATTTTACATTATATCTCAACTCCCATGTGCTTATATACACGTGTATTTAGTATTGTTTACACTAAAATAAAATTATGTTCGGTAAAAACGACCTTTGAAAATTGAGCCAATCAGGGTCAATTTAGTAACTTACTTGTTTTGCACAGTGTGCAATATTGTGACCTTGAGGTTTTTTTTGCTACTGGGGATGATAGACCCTCCCAGTGTATATAATGACTTCAAGATTGTTATCCCCTGAAAATTATAAGATAAGACAATTCTTTATTACAACCTTATAGAATGAATTACATATCTATTTTGGTTTATAAAATGTAATAAAGGTGTTAAAATAAACATAACAAGTTAGATATCTAAAATCTACTACAATACAGTTACATGTAATAATGTAAAAAATATTAATGACTCATTAGGTGGTTTTTCTATATATCATTTGTTGAAATGTTTTCACAATATTAAGATTCGTATTAATAATAATATTTGACTTTTTCATCCCATATCTCCGTGCATTCTTTTTAATCTGTCAGAATATATAACCTCACTATAGAAAAATGCTAATTTTTAACATTTTTTGTGACATGTCGTACTCTTGTATCTCGTAAAATCGTCCGGTATTCTGACGTTTATGTTCGGTATTAATGACAACGATGAAACTTACTCTTCGACTCGAACTCCCTTGTGGTGAGGGTAAAAAGCTAGGGTCCGGTCACGTGGTTAATGTTTTTGCTCCTTCTCAAAGCTAATCCAATTCATATACCACGTCTTTTATAGTCAGTCCCGTAGCCAGATCACGATATCGAGTCACCATGACTACTATCACTAAACCCGGGTCACTGACTCACGATGTCACCCATTTCAGCTGTACAATTTTGTTTCATTTTCACTGGCCTTCCTGTTTAGATTTGATATCAAGAACTTTTCTACGAGTTCTAGAATTTCCCGCGAATATTTGCATTGCGACCCGGATGTGGCGCCCCCATTCAGTTCGTAGAAGCCCGGACCGTTTCTGTGAAAACCCTAACGACACCCCATTTACCCATGTTTCCCACAATGCATTGGTAAACCTACCTGCGTTCGTTTCGTCGTCTATTATTTGAAGGTTACAGGAAAAGGCTGTTAATGTTCACTTGGTGAGGAAAAAGAGTGACAAACACGCTAATAAGTCCATTCACCGAGTATCAAAACAAAGGTAAACTAGTGTTGAATTTTATTTTTATAACTATAGCGCGAATGAAATAAGTGAACCCGCTCGGTCATGTTTGGAAATGAGGGACGCCGAGAGTTGCGGCGAAAGGTCATAATGGGTTCATTCCGTGATTATTTTGCTTCGTGCTTGATACATCTGATCAAACTGCAGTTTTATTATACATTTTGATATTTTTAATACGTACTCCATCCTATATTACTTGTCGTTCAAGTAATTTTAGAGAACGCTCGTATTGAATGTGTACGCACGAAAGGGGAACGGGGCGACAACGGGTGGTAAACAGACGGTGCGAGACTATACTGGGGCAAACAGGGTTTTCTGAAGGCTTTCTATATCTGCGTTCTCTAGATTATAGACATAAGGATATTTTATCTCAGTGCAGAATTACATTCAAGAATCATTGCGATACTGATATTTCACTGTCACTGATTTGTTAGGAAATAAACAGAAATAGAAATTGTAATTTCATGACCACTGTAGACATAATGTACGCACTGAAATTAAAATAAAGGATAAAATACGGCCTAGTGGGGCCCTTTACAGGTAATTTAAGTGTTGGTTTGGGATTTTTTCTACAAATTTTAAAGTGACTGTTTATGTACTATATACAGAAGATAAGGATTGCATGAAATATTAATATTTCAGTGGCAATTTTTATAATTGAAGCATCAGTTAATTATAATTAATAATAATAACTTTATTGACATTATTCATTTTAAATAGAACATAGTCAAATACTATTCTAAGAAACAAAACAAAAATAACAACAACAAAAAAGAAGATGCACCCGGCTTTTTGTTTAACTGGAAATTTATTTTTCATAAATATTTATAAACTGTTTATAACAATTTAAATTTTAAAAAGATATGTTAGATGTGCGCTATTGACCATGCAACTACAGAGATTTAGCGAACTACGAAGGTATGTTTCATATAAATTAAATAGTGCATCATTTATAGTTCTAGCTGTCCTGTAAAAGAAATCATGCATAGATGTTGCGTCATTTCTAATAATGAATTCATTGTAATGATTCGATAGTGTAAAATTACAGAAGTTAGGCATGCATTGCTTTCTTTTAAAAAAAAAACAGTTCACCGAAAACTACAGTTACAATAGAGTGACAGAATAGGCACAGTAGTATAGTCTCTTTTTGTAGAGTCACTTCCAAGCGATGATAACAACACATGCTAAAATGTAAAGGTCATGACACTTGTTTGTAAACAACAACAACACACCTGACCATCTGCTACTTGCATTGGTGATGACTTGCCCACTTTAACACAGATTTCGCTGATGATGCTAAACCATTTTGTGAACACCACAAATTATAATATACATTTTCAAAAATTAAAATATACTTAACAATTTTAGTGATAAATTTGCACAGCAGGTTATTTTTTTGAGCTGAGTCGTACCAGTCAGTTTTTAGGCAAAATTAAAACCATGCAACTACAGTAACTGTAAATACCGGTACTATTTATAGAAATATGATAAAATAATTCTGTGTGAGTATCATGAGTTAGAGCACAACAAGCCCATTTTGCATAAGTATTTATATTTCAAAATTTAAACTGAAAACGAGGTCTCTATTGGCTGATGGTACAATATTGAAACATGTTAAAATCTT